GATGGTAGTCAAGGGTTTCGCAATACAATTCACGTTAGTGCTGAATATTAAGTTTGCTCTTACCAGAGGCTTATGTGTCGACCAATCAAAATAGCCCTTGTCTTCAAAAGTTCAATTGCCCTTGCAGAAGAGGATGGAAAATCACTTATGCCAGGGATCCTGTATCCCATTGCTTTTGGCATGAATCGCTGTAATCTCATTTTTTTTTTAGGTTCCGGATATAATCTCGGAGAAAACCATTGGCGCAATAAAAAAAATAAAAAAAAAAAAAAAAGAATAGAAAATCTGATGCCCAGAACTCTTCTGACAAAACCAAAACTCGCATTAAAAAATTTAAGAATTGAAGAATCGACCTTGGAAGCCTTCGATAACTTACTCCCATTCTCTCTCCTTCCTCTAGCTGTAACAAAATACCACCTAACTCCGAGCATATCAACACATCCGTGCCCAGTTGGAGATCCCCGGCTCCACCAATTATACCTTTGAGCGTCGTTTCCGCCTGTCCTGCGATTGAAATATCCACCAGACCTTCACCTTTACCTTCCATCCCGGCAAGAAGCGCATGCGCGCACTTTTGTAATGCATGCACTCGGGACTCTTTACGATTCCAAATGTTTTCTCCCGTAGTTCCAATCAGGCTTCGGTGTCTATATCTCCTGGCTCCAGACGACAGGGAATACTGACCAGATGCAAATCTGCAGTGTGTTTCATTCCCTTTGGGTCCGAACCGTAGTTTGCGACGCAAGCATGCCACAGTGCGAAACGTGATAACTCCCGGCTTTTGGTTGGTCAATGTGGCTCCGTGGGAGTTGAGCTCCGGCATTACTCACCATTTCCTTTCGTAGGTCTATGAGTATACGTTGATTTGAGTGGTATCTGAAAAGTGACAACCACCTCTCAACCCCTTGAGCTGATATTATATCCATTTAACTACTATCCGCGTGCTCTTGCGCAAGTACCATTTCCCCAGCATCTTGTGCTGTTCCCTAGCGTCCACAGTTTGCATTGTACCGGTGTATCCACCAATGCAGTTTTGACAGCAGTCGACATGCTGTTATGTTGGGCTGGTAGGCGGATCACAGTTATAACACCTTCGTATTTCAGAGACCGACGTGTGAAAGTTATTCGCTGAGCTCCGATTGCGAAGAGATATTCGACATGAATAGCGCCGAGATGGGAAAAGGGGGTTGATCCAGGCTTCCCACAGGAAATCGTTGGAGACGGTCATGACACCGGCGAAAAGTTCCACTTCTGGAAATCAAGAATGTTGTTAGAGAGCTCTTGGGACAAATATTATGAGGACCGTGATCGTGGTCACGAAGAGAAGAAATTCGATGCTCCGTAGGTAGCTGAAAACATATCCCTCCGGCGAGGAGAAACAGGTGCCAAAACCAAGCATTTCATCATGTTTAATGATTGATCAATTTCATTCACCACCTACATCTTCTTCATCTAACCACAAAACAGATGAGAAATAAGATGAATGTCGCTTGAAGGAACTTTCACCCAACTCCTAACAGAACGCATTAATTCAACTACATATCACCAGGTTAGGTCTTCTCTTCTTGCATTGCAAGCCTCAATCGACGCTACCGATACTCTTCGGCTGCCTTCCTTCAAGCCAGCGTTGAGTTAAGAAAACGTCTTAAAGTCATACCTTCGATAAACTAATTTCTGGAGGGTAAATAAGCTATCCCTTGCGGTAGTCACGGTTTTTTTTTTTTTTTTCGGGAGCATTTTGTTTGATGTTAGATTAACCTTCCAAGCTAACTAGCTTTTAAGGTTGGAGCCGCACCAATCATCCTCAAGGCCTCTGTACATAAGAAGTTAACAACAACACGCATACTATCTATATACCAATGCAACTGAGCGCGATCGACATGCTGCTACCACGCAATGTGGCACTATATACAATTTATAAGTTGCCGAGGGCAGCTCTTATGAAAACGGGGGCAATTGTAATGCACTGCTTATGCACTCGCTTATCATTACCCTATATCTTCGTTTATTATTGCCTTTTATTAATATATTCTCGCTACCACTATTTCTATATATGTGTATATATACATCCGCATGTACTCCGCACATCTTCTTTTCTCTTTCTTTTCTTCCTTAGCGATTAGCACTAGTATGGAAGCTATGATTATTTTCCTCTCATCTGCATGAAATAGGTTCTATCGTTGTCATACCGAATAACGACAGTTCACGAAAGTCAGATGAGAAATCTGGTGTGAGTTTCGACCACCAATCCACAACCTCTTATCTCCACATACCTACCAAGATAATTCTATATTAATGTCAGGCCCATTCCAGTCCTGCAAGCTGCAGCTTGAAGGACATGTATCATGAACACATGTGTTATTGGCTCGAGATTAAGGGTTCTGTGGAGATTGCTACCCTCATCCAATTCAAAAATTAGGAGTCAAATCTATCCGAACCTACGAGTCGGATCCTCGGGCCTCATCAGGAGAGAAATAACCAAACAATAATGACCTATCTAGGCACCACTCGTAAACCCATGAACAATCATATGCTAGGGTGGGAATATAGAATTCATAGAGCACATCATAGTTAAAGCTTAATATTAGCTAAATAACAGATCCCAGCGATATCTACCACACTTGACTTACGGCGTAGAGGTGAATAATCAGCAGAGACTGGTAGTTTTGATGACCAAACAGAAAACGACCCAGAAATTCTTCCTGGACTCAAAGCACCTCCTCCTCTAACCAGCAGGATCACGCATGATGAACAATAAAATAATATGGGGTTTTACCACTAATCCTTGCCGAGGTGGACAACCAAAATACACGCAAATCTTAACTTGGCAGTATCACGTCATCACGTGAATGTGACGCGCCTTCAATAATTATCGTGTCGCGACGACAGAAGCATCCTTCAAGTCATTCCGGGTAAGGCGGTTAGGATGGATGATATTTTTTCTTCTTTTAATTTCTCCCCCTTTACTGTATATGTGAGATTAACCGCAGATTATCCTTGTATTCCAGTTTAAAAGAAACATCTTAAATCCGAGAGCTTACCAGGCTCTCAGCTTAACCAGCGTCGCATATACCTTGGTTGAAATGGGAATAAAACGTAAGTTACCTTCCTCGATATTTTGCTATCTATCTTCCCAAAAAAGAAAGAAAGAAAGAAAGAAAAAGGGAAGGAAAGACCGGTACAATTACATGTCACATTACTGGGCAATGAAAATGTTCTAATATATGGGATTACGCTTCCAGATCTATACCAAATAATACAGGAAAATGCTCCTGATGCAGTCAAAGCTGGTGAAATCAAAAACCATTTCGGCCGGAAGGTTGCAATTGTACGTACTTTGTCTCCTGTACCTTGCTCAAAATTGCATAATCACCTGCATGAGTGTTTCCGGGCTTGGCTGACCATTAATCAATCTTCCATTCGTTTAGGATGCGTATGTCATACAGCAATTCGTTCCAGATCATGGATATACAACTAATATTGCGTACACAGCTCCATGAGCATCTACAGTTTCCTTATTGCCGTTCGCTCAGACGGCCAACAACTTACGAGCGAAACCGGCGAGACAACTTCACATCTCATGGGCATGTTCTACCGTACTCTTCGCATCGTCGACAACGGCATTAAACCTGTTTATGTATTCGACGGTGCACCTCCAAAGCTCAAGTCTGGAGAACTGGCTAAACGATTCATGCGCAAGTCCGAGGCTGCAGAAGCGCATGAGGAAGCAAAGGAGGTTGGCACAGCAGAAGAGGTGGAAAAGTTCTCGAGACGAACGGTCAGAGTAACCCGCGAACATAATGAGGAATGCAAGAAGCTATTGAAACTGATGGGTGTGCCCTACATCGACGCGCCAACTGAGGCAGAGGCCCAATGTGCTGTACTTGCAAGGGCAGGGAAGGTTTATGCTGCGGCGTCAGAGGATATGGATACATTGTGCTTTGACTCGCCAATCTTACTACGACATCTCACGTTCAGTGAACAACGCAAGGAACCAATTCTGGAAATACATCTAGATCGCGTTCTAGAGGGCTTAGATATGGATAGAAAGCAAGTAAGTCTGTTCCTAAAGACTTCTGATCTGTACTCTTTTGCTTTTGAGCTAATAATCCTTCACCCATCCTAGTTTGTCGACCTCTGCATCCTTCTGGGTTGCGACTACCTCGATCCCATCCCCAAGGTCGGCCCTAACACTGCTTTAAAATTGATCCGTGACCACGGGTCCTTAGAACAGGTCGTCGAGGCCATCAAATCCGACCCGAAGAAGAAATACACCATCCCCGAAGACTGGCCATATAAGGAAGCTCGAGAACTCTTCTTCGACCCCGATGTTCGCAAAGCAGATCACCCGGATTGCGACTTTAAGTGGGAAGCGCCTGATGTCGAGGGATTGGTGAAATTCCTCGTTGAGGAGAAAGCATTCAGCGAGGATCGAGTACGAAACGCCGCGGCGCGTCTACAAAAGAACTTAAAAACAGCACAACAATCCCGGCTGGAGGGATTTTTCAAGCCGATTGCGAAGACTGAACAGGAAAAAGCTGTTTTGAAGCGCAAGCATGAAGAAAAGTTGGAGTTACAGAAGAAGAAAAAGAAAGAGGATGCAAAGGCTAAAAAGGAGGCAAAGTCCAAACCCAGAGGAACTACGTGACTTTCATTAGCTTGGTTCCTTTCCCTCTTGTTTATTTCGCGTCTGCTGGAGTTTGTTATCATGATTATCTCATACCGGTGTCATCATTTTACGGCGAGGCGAGAAACCCAAAGACAATGGTTATACCATATTACTGATCAATAAAATAATTCCTCTCACTGGATGAAACATCCGAGGCGACAAGCTTTGCCACATCAACAACCTCGGCCAGTCTTATTCATGTACCATTAGGCCAATTTAGTATGGGAAGGTACCTTGTTGTGTTTGCCGAGCACTAGCGAAACTTTGCCTACGAGTCCACCGGCGTCCAATGTCATCATCCAACTATGAGCGATTTTGTGGCCCCTTCGGGCTGCCTTAATTGACCGACCGCCTTTCCCCACTGTCCTGGACATAATCAACCCAGACATATCAGGATTTCAATATGGACATATATGTAACTAGCAATCCAGCTACCTACTATATGGTCTACAATTATATTAGCCCTTCGTGGCTGCCAGGGAGCCCGATTAGCTCTTTTATCTGTCTTTGTCATTAAACCAACAGCAAAAACAGTCAATCAAGAATGATTTCTCCCCAGCAGATGATCAGCTGCGATGGTAATGGTGCTGCCCATACAACACACAAAGAAGCTCTGGAAATGCGGCGTCGGGGAAACTACACATTAGTTTTGTTTCCAGCCGAATAGCGCAAGGCCTTTTGAAACGCCGGGACACATTGTTTATTTCTCTACTACCCTCTCTGAAGTAGTTACTACTTCAGCCTCTTGCACAATGTCACGGAAAATATATTATCACGATGGTCCTGACAAATTTGTCAAACTGCCTAAATTTGACTTGCTCACCTTTCTATTCGGTAATTCCCTTCCTCAACAACCCCCAAACCAAGGATTTTATACTTAGTGCGTGTACCCTAACTTCCATAAAGAATCCGAATACTGTCCAACATTAGACGAGACCCCCCTCCATATTAATGCAAATTATCCCTCCCAAATAATCACCAAGAAAGATCTCCGCGATCTAACAGAGCGCACCGCCTACGGCCTACGAACTAATTACGGAATTGGGGCGAAGGGACCAAATAAGGACGTGGTAACCGTCATTAGCCATGGCCAACCTTACGTTCCTGTTGCTTTCTATGGCACCCTTGCTGCTGGCGGAGTATACTCCGGGGCCAGCCCGTCGTCGACAGTTGCAGAATTGTCTCGACAGATTGCAATCGCCAATAGCCGTTTAATAATTTGCGGCAAAGAAATGAAAGAGATCGCCTTGAAAGCTGCCAAGCAGTGTAATCTGCCCCCAGAACGAGTGTTGATGTTGGAGTCGTATCCGTCCTTCAAGCTCTCTTCTCTCGAAGGTAATATCAATATAATTTCAAATAGGAAATTGGCGTGGCAACGGATTACGGATGCCGAGGCTTTGGAGAAGAGCATTATCGTGATCCTATGGTCATCCGGTACAACTGGGCTTCCCAAAGGTAAAATATCTATCACCAGCCCAATGAGATGTAAGTTAAATTACTGATCGATCAAAATAAGGTGTCATGCTTTCTCATACGAACTTGGTTTCGGAAACCTACGTAGTCAGTCTCTCCGGGAAAGCCTGGGTAGCCAGGGAAATAGCAGCAGGGAGAGAAGTTCCTCCATCCCGCACCCTTGCACATCTGCCCATCAGCCATATAGCGGGCATATTCGGGTATCTCGTGGTTCCTTTTTCTGTCGGCGGTCTTGTCGTATGGATGGGTAAATACGAGTGGAAAAATATGCTTAGATTTGTTAAACAATATCAGATCACATCATTCTACACGATCCCCTCCATTTATCTACAAATCGCCAAATCCCCTGATGTCACTGATCATTTCAAGTACGTTGTTAACGCAACCACCGGAGCAGCACCCATGGATAGTAACCTGCAGACGGCTGCAAGCAAAAAACTTGGAGGAGGTGGCAGGCAAGTTGTAATCGGACAAACCTGGGGCCTGAGCGAGACTACCGGCGCGGTCACAATGATGCCGAGAGGAGTGCATGATTACACTGGATGCATTGGATATATTTTACCCAATGTCGAACTACGGTATTTACCCCACATATTTTATATCTGAATGCCTAGAATTATGTTTAGATCTAATCATCTCTCAATTTCAGCATGGTGGATAGCTCCTTTAATGACGTCGAACCCGGGCAACCAGGCGAGTTCTTGGTTAGAGGACCAATGGTAACACAAGGATATTACAACAATCCTCAAGCAACGGAAAATGCTTTCCACGATGGCTGGTTCTGCACTGGGGATATCGGTATACAAAGGAATGGAAAATTTTACATCGTCGACAGGAAGAAGGTAGTTATGGTTATTCATTGACACCTTCACTCCCTCTTACTAATCCTCTAAACCTCTAACTAAGCCAAATCTAACTTGGCAACCCTCCCCCTCTAGGAGCTCCTGAAATACAAAGGCCAGCAGATTGCTCCCGCAGAAATTGAGGGTGTCCTCATTAGCCACCCAGACATTAAGGATGCTGCTGTCTGTGGTGTTCCCAGTCCAGAAGATCCAGCCTCCGACTTGCCTCGCGCATATGTCGTGGCCGACACCACTCGAGTGAATGAACAGACAGTTAAGAACTTCGTCAAAGATCGGCTATCGCCATTCAAACAGTTGCGCGGGGGTGTGGTATTTGTAAATGAGATACCTAAAAATGCCGTTGGAAAACTATTACGGAGAGAGTTGAAGGAGCGGGCGAAAAAGGAGATGGGGATGGACAGGAAGCACGTTATTATTGAGAAGCTGTGATTTGAAGGTTTTGTGAATATCCATTGGTTGTTTGAACCATTAATCGATATTAATAGAATTTGAGCAATTATATAGTTAGAGCTATAGATTCAATTTCAATCCAAATATTTTGAAACCCATATGTATGTACTGTGCATGGACATGGAAATGCACTAGCTAAATCGGTTCTATTTTGTTTGTTCTTTGTTGTCCAGAACTGCGACTTCAAAGCATTAATTAATTAACAAGCCGGTGAGTTTAGTCAAATCAACAATATGAAAATCTCTCGAAGCCGCTGATTCAGATTCCAGAGAACTAGAAATAAAAAGCCCAGCTGGCATGGAGGGGAGAAGGTCCTGGGGAGGTTAGATATGAAATTTATCTAGTCTTATTTATAACACTTGTAGGGATTTGCCAATAACCAACATCTGACACAGGTTGTGTACAATGTCTACAGCAGCATCGCAAGTGTGATGAGAACCGTGCGCGTTGTAGTAGATGTTCCCGTCGTAATGTCGACTGTTCGTATCGGCGATGCCTCAGTACAGACGAGTCCACAGTTCTGAACAGCCGTGATCCACGCAGACTAACACCATACTCTTTCTTATATGATAACAGACCCTCCGGCAAAAGGGACTCAAGCAGCAATCCCCTCTTCATCACATTCAGGATCAAATTATCACGGTCCAGAATTTTCTGTACAATGAGAGCACCGGCGCACTCCATCGAATGGCCCTGGAACATATGGCCGCTGACCAATGTTTTCGGCTGCCTTGAATGCTCCTCAAACATATCGTAGACCTTTTTGCCTATAAGCACCACCGATAACGGTTGATAGCCGGCTCCCAAAAAACCCTTGCCGATGGCCTGGAGATCAGGGGCAACACCTCCCAAGCTCTGCCAGGCGTGATAAGTCCCTACACGCCCCATTCCACACATAACCTCGTCGAAGATGACGAGAATCCCATGGCGGTTGCAGAGTTCTTTGAGGCGGGGGGTGGGGGGATGAGCTCGTTGCTGGTACGATACCAAGTGTTGCACCCACCACCAGCGCGTGTGCAAATGCCAGATTCCTTGCTTGGGCGATCACGACCTCGATTGCTTCCTTATATCCATGTCCGATGCTTGATACTGCCGCGCGCAGCAACCGTCAAGGATTTTATCTCCTCTATCGGTGTATAAATAGACACCCTCACCGCTTATGGCTGTCGTGTACAACTTCTCTAAACACCTGTGGAAAATGGCAGACTGGTACAGTGCAGCAATATCAATAACGATTCAAGGGTAACTACCAAGGTCTAACGTATGCTCGAAGGAAATGTCAACTCAACGTAAATGAGGATATTCTGACCCATAGGCGAAACCGAAAGTTACAGTAGGCACTCCACTAAATAATGTTCCCGCAATCCCACTTTCTTATCCTCCTTCCTCCTCCAGAATAAGCTGGCGTGTACTAAATAGCCAATGGATCTCATTATCTCAAGATTCTGACCATGAGCTTGGATCTGTGCTCTGTATTCGGCCTGGAGCGAGTAAAAAACTTCCAATTCGGGTACAGTCAACGCCAGCACTCAGCCGCTGTCGCATCACCCGATATACATGAAAATATTATCCATTATTGCCGCGACGACAATGCAAACCTGCTATCCAGTTCCCAACTCTTCACGATGGCGGTGGTAGTCGAAACGAAACATACCTGTCTTCCTGGAACATTTTTTGTGTGAATGGCGGATGTTGGTCCGACAGCGTATTTGAAAATTCTGTCATTTCTTGGTAGTTAAAAAAATAACGTGCTTGTGCATCATTAGAATCAATTCTCATCATCTTCTGCCACAATTTCTGTACAAATATGGTATGCTTTGATAGTGATTTATTATCCCGTCTGCTCTGTTGAATGAAGCTGTGCTGATTTCAAAATTTACTTCACCTGTAAGAAACTCGCACTAAGGTGCCAGCGCTAAATTGAAGCAGGTAAATAATTGCCCTAAGATATAACATCGCCGAATATAGCGCCGCCAGCGTCATATCAGCTTTAAAATCAAAGCAATATCATGCCGCTTGCATCATATCAAATTCAATCTACCTGCGATATTGTGTGTATTGTGTATTTCACTAGCAGCTAGTCCAACCTTCTAGGGGCCCGCGAATCATTATGATTGGCTTCACCATATAGACCACTAGTCCCAGACATCAATATAGAGGTACAAGTTATGTCTAGATGTTGTACACAGAATCGTACAACTGAAGTAGAGAAGAAAAGTCAAGAAAAGAAAGAAAAGAAAAAATATTTGCATTCATTTTCTCTGAATATATATAAAAATACTTGGTGTATGAGGTTGAAATTGCGCTTTTTTAATTGGCATTCTTCAAAAGTTAAGAGAGTCTTACCTAGAATATTAATAATATTTTCTCCACTAACTTGGTGAGGATCTTGGATATTCACATAATAAAGGTAGTATGATTGGCCGCCTGGGGGCCCGGGGCGGCACCGGGGGGAGGAGGAAGGGGGGGAAGAAGGGAGGGTTTCAAACCCCACTGCAGTTCTCCGTAGACCTCTACAGACAATCATCTCGAGTGAAAACCCAAGGAATCAATGGCAAGATACCGTAGGCTTAGATCTTCTGAACTCTTTTGAATATCAATACAATTTTTGCGTCACCAAACGGAATACCCACCCATACACCCACAATGCCTTCCAGCGCCGATCTTCGCGTCTCCAACCTCTTCTCCTTCAATAGCCATGTTGCTCTAGTCACTGGGGGAGCCTCTGGGCTCGGCGAGATCGCTGCGCAGGGCCTGGTACAGAATGGCGCTCGGGTCATCATTGCGAGCCGCAAGGAAGAGGAGCTGAAGAAATGCACTGATCAATTAAACAAACTCGGCCCAGGAACATGCGAATACATCGTTGCTGATTTGAAGGATAAGGCTGGCTGCGATCATCTTGCTGCCGAAGTGAAGAAGAGAATAGACAGGCTGACAGTTTTGGTTAACAATTCCGGCGCTACTTGGTGAGTGATCTCAGAAGAAAAGTCTGGAGGAGCGGAAGGCTTGATATTATATGGTATGTAAGTAGTGACCGCAATACAAACAACAGGGGTGCGCCGTTGGAAGACTTTCCAGAGGTTGGTTGGGATAAAGTTATGTCATTGAATGTTAAGTCTATTTTCTACTGTAGGTTGAGCCCCAAACTCAGGCTGTCAAATTCTTCCAATTGCTCTGCTAACTATGTAAATAACAGTAACTGTTGGGTAAGCCTATGGCTGCTACAAGGATGTCCTCTATATTTCTTACGATATTGACTGGACATGGACCAATACAGAGTCCTACCACTTCTCCAGAAAGCCGCTTCGCCCGATATGCCATCTCGCGTGATTAACATCGCATCCATTTGGGGGATATCAACTCTTGACCCTACAACAACGGATGAAGGAGGGCTATCCCCGCCAGGAACCGGAACGTTTAGTTGTATGTGGTTAACCTAACTCATTCCTGTGATCTAAACTCGGAAACGCATTCAAAATTTCGTACTAACGTCAAACTCCTCCCCTTTTTTGATGCAGATGGTCCCTCGAAGGCGGCTTGTATCCACCTTTCCCGACAACAGTCGTCAAAATTCGCTCCGATGAACATCATGGTGAACTGCGTGTGCCCGTAAGCAACGAATGAACTTCATGTCTCCAATTTTCTGAACGCACGACACAAAAGCCCTTCCAACCGTATATGCAAGCAAGGTCCATAAAGCTTACCAAATGTTTTGCTCTATAGCGGTGTCTTCCCCTCCCGCATGTCGAATTTCGGCATCGAGAAATATCTCGATACCCTCCTTGATGCACAACCGACCGGCCGCATTGGCAAGCCCGAGGACTTTGCCGCTCTGATTCTGTTCCTTTGCAGTTACGGCGCATCGCATTTGACCGGGAACGTGATTGAACTTGACGGAGGTAGCAGCCGGAGTGGATGGAAGGGCGGATCCGAGCATAAGAAGCTGTAGGGCAACTGCGTAGATAAATTCGTCATGTTTAGTGACAATATACCATATTAATGAGGTTTTTCTGACCGGTATTCTTTTCTTTTATTTTCCTTTTTTGTTTTCTTTTGTTGGGGGAGGCCCTCTTCCATATCCAGACTTAGAAATGCATCGGATATTTAGGATGTTGCAAACACATCTCCATATTGTAAAATCATATCGAGTAGCTTTAAGACCCTGCTTCTCAAACTCTCACAAAAACACAAAAT